TTTTATTTATAAATAAAATTCAGTGATAGTCTAATTTAATTCTTGAATATTGACATTTAAAAATATTAGCTCTTTAAATTTAATTATTTTTAATTTCTTCAAATGGTTTTAATATAATTTGATAGTTCGAATTATTTTGCTCACATAGTTCATAGTAATTTATCTCAATCTGTTTCATTTTTGAATATTGACATTTAAAAATATTAGCTCTTTAAATTTAATTATTTTTAATTTTTTCAAACTGTTTTAATATAATCAAATTATTTTGATTTCATATTTTATAGTTATTTATCTTAATCTGTTTCATTCTTGAATATTGATATTTAAAAATATTAGCTCTTTAATTTTAATTATTTTTAATTATTTAAAACGTTTTTATTATAATTCAAATTATTTCAAATTATTTTGCTTGCATAGTTTATAGTAATTTATCTCAATCTGTTTTATTCTTGAATATTGATGTTTAAAAATATTAGCTTTTTATTTTAATTTTTTCAAACTGTTTTAATATAATTCAAATTATTTTGAATTAGTTTGATTTCATATTTTATAGTTATTTATCTCAATCTGTTTCAAATTATTTCAAATTATTTTACGTAATATTGCGTAATTTCTTGTGTAATATTGTGTAATAATCTTACATAATATTTCATAATTATATATTTCACAATATTGTGAAAACTATTACATAATATTATGGTGTTTTTATGTTTCATAAATTATTTCGCAATATTATACCCTATTAAATTTGCTGATATAGTTATCAAGTTATTCATCATCAAAGTTTGAGTAAAAATAGTAAAATTTATATTAAAAAAATTTGTATTTATATATATATATAACTATATTACTGTATATAATATATATTATATATAGGACCTGATAATTTCTCTACCCCCACCTCCCTAAAAAATCAGCTAATAAATGGCACTCCTCTTACTATAGCAGATCAAACATAGGTACTCATTTAGCAAACACTTGTAACTTAGGTGGGCTTAAGGTGACTTGAGTCATAATTGATATTTTACCCATGAGTTTAATATTGCATCCTAATAAAGTGTTGGCAAGATTGCCGAATTTACCAAAAAAAAAAAAAAATTAGTTTTCATTTATATATTTTGCTAATGATATATTTGCAGATATATGTTTTTACTACACCAATATGATAATTTCATATCACGGTATCAGTGTAGTTTTAAGAAATCAGAAATCACCTGACAATCGAATGATTTTTTTTGATAATTTTTAAGGGAGATACAGAATTTTGCTAGTTAGAATTTATCAGTACTAGGCAAGCATTAAGCAATAAAACCACCTGACCAAAATTTATCTGGGCAAATTAGCATGTGATCTACTAAATAGACCCAGAATTTTGGTCAATTTGCTGTGTTTACGTTCGCTAGTATTATTACTGATTAAATATATGATCCTCCATATATCAGACCCACCTTGTTTTTTTACTAATTATTCCTTTTTTTACTAATTAATTTTTTGGTGGAATGAAAGAGACCCAAGTTTTGTATATGGCATTACAGATTACATGAAACCAATTTCCTGAAACCGCAAAATTACATAAAATTACGCAAAATACAATAAATTTACAACCCTAATTGCGTCATTATCCTATTACCAATCCTTTCAATGATCTGTCCAATAAATAGATATAGTCAGCACAACAACACAGTAACAACAGTAGGAGTTTATTTATCCAATCGAAAATTCCTTTATCCTATTTTTTATAACGTATTGTCGCGAAATGACGTCCAGCTACGCATTACTTTGAATATATGCGCATTGTTTAGAGTTTTAGAGTACGCGCATGGGATAAAAATTTTAGAACCTAATTTTTCAAATAGCGCCCATGCGCGTTATATAAATATACTATTTTCTAAACAACGCCATGCTTTTTATTTCGCGACAATACGATAATCTTTCACATTATATTATACGCATTTTATTAAAGATCATTTTTTTGTTTATTCACCATTTTATTATGTATTTATTGTAATGATCTCATGTTAATTTATTAACATGTGGGTTTCCAGGTTACACCGATGGTAATAGATTATTTTAAATTTTATTAGGTGATGCTAACTAAAAAAATTCTTATGTATGCAAAACGGCTAGATGCTTACGTCATAAATATTCAATGTCACCGTTCAGATTATTAGCGTTAGAACGGTTCTACCATTATGATGATAACTGGTTGTAATATATTTATTGTCGATCCCGGTTGATGCTTCTTTTTGTTTCGAGTCAAATACAACGATAATTGGAGTATATTGTCGATTTTGGGTCTAAGACTGAATTTGCACTAGTGATGCAGGCGAAACTGTCGCAGTGAACCGTAAGACATAGCAAATTACGGTTGCGGTGAATTCCATTGGCCCAAATGCCGTATGAAATAAAATAATTAAAAATTTGATATCTATCGTAATTATTGTATGGCTAATGTTTATTGTATTTAATTAAATACGTATTATTCTGAATATATGTAATATGTGTAATTAAATACGTATTACGTATTATGAATATATGTAATATGTAATATATATATACGTATATAGTAAGTATTAATCGAATATCATGTAATAAAAAGATAGTTTCTTCTGATATGAATATAAATATAGAAATAACTTTGGTTTAAACGATAATAATTCATAACTGCCATTATCTGAATTAAATTATAACATCAATCAATTTTATCAAAGCCACTCCAAAAATAAAATTTTTAATCTCAACAAGAAATTAAAACAATTCATCCGAAAAAGGTTTTCTATCCAATCAGCTTCTAGTTAAATTATTGAATTACGGCATTACGATATTCTATCAGAATCTATATGCCGTAATGTCGTAATGCCATAATTAAGGATTGGAATCGGTTTAGTCAACTAAAAAATTTTTATAGTGAGCTACTTGTTTGGTCGACTAATTAGTCGACTAAACCGATTCCAATCCCTAGGCTGTATAATATATATATAGTTAAATAGCCATGTAACACAGTCATGCCAAATAGGAATAAGGCACTAGGAACGCAGTCAACGATCTTTATACGTATCAGATATGGTGTATTATTTGCTATAACTTATAATTACTGCATCATTACAGTATTTTAACACAATACTGCAATGGCATTACGATATTTAGATACAACAGCATTATTGTATTTCAACATAACGACATATAATACGACATATAATACGACACATAATACGACACATGCCGTAACCGTATTAATTTACTAAATTAATTTTATCACCAACACTAGCCTGGATATATATTATATGTTTATTTTATCGTCATGATAGGTTGCATATAAAAGTTACGGCATACAAAAAGTTAACTTGATAATTTTTATTATCAGCATGTACGCAAGTTAATAATTTAGTAAAAAGTTCCAACTAATTACGGTGCGGCCCATCCCAATACCTCAAGTTCCGCCTGCATTTCTAATGCACAAAACATGAACAGAGCCGGACCATTAAAGTTTTTAATTATTAATGAAATTAAGATTGTTATTTTAGGCAATCTTGATATTTATTATCGTTAAAAACAATTACTATTAAACAAAAATTAGTTCAAATATTTAGCAAAATTAATTTTGCCAAATTAAAAATATATATAATACATTATAAAAAATTACAATATTAAACAGTTGTTTATGCAATGCATCGAAAAGGTAACAAAAAAAGAGTAAAGAATGCTATAGTAAAAAATGATTTAAAAAAATGATGCAGGGATCTTTTTAAAGACATCAGTATATAAATGTAATTTATCGATCGCATCAGAACCATACCAAAACATAACCCAGTTGGTACCCGGAATACGAAGATTACCGTCTGATCTTTCAAAATACCTAATTGTAAAAAAAAATATCATAATATAAATTACTATTAATATATTTTTATGATCATATTTTATGAATAAGTAGTCATTCACCTACCATTTATTAACTGTATTGTCACCTCGCGATCTCCACGATAAGTTTGGATAATGAAGTTGTAATTGTTTCCATAGTATATCATTAATGCCCATTCCTTGAGAATTAGGAGCAACCGCAATTTTATCCAAATAAGGCAAATCACCTTTTTTATTACCTTCAACATCCTCCATAGTAACTACCACCGCACCTTGATAATCACCAACGACAATAATCATATCTAAACAATCTTTTAATCTTGACAAGTAGGCATCGATATTCAACTTACGACGAAATGATTTTTCAATTAGTGACTGGAAAGAAGGTATGTTAATGGTTGAGAGTGAGTGATGAAATATTACAGGTGCACCATAACGCAAAACTGTTGTAGTTGTTGATGGCGAAGTTGTAAGTGGTAATGAAGATGAAAATCGTGGTTTATCAGTAATTAGATTAGATACTAGTGTAGCGGAAGAATAAGCAGGAACCATGATAGCCGAAGAAGTAGAAGGAAGATTTTCCAAACAAGATTTTATCATTTCCAAATTTTCAAGGCCAGTTGGATGAGTGAAATTCCAATGTGGATTGACCTTATAACTTTGTTTTAGATAATCATATTCTTGTTGAATATTAATAAAAACGTGAGAACCTTTACGATCCTCGGATGGAATTCCACCTTCCGAGTTGATAACAATGATTTTCATTGGTTCTAACTCAGGAGTTTTTAGATGCATGAAATTAGCATTAGAATGATTAGATAAAGCACGGGATAATTCAATCAAACCAGAATTTGGAGGAATAGTTCTTTGAATTAATAAACCATCAAGAGCTATGGGAAGAATAAGAGGGATTTGACCTAATTCATAACACCATTTAAGCCAATGCACTGAAACATTTATTTTTGCGTCGACATCAGTTGCTAAAGTTCGTCCAGGAAGTTTGAAATAACGATGTTGTTTATTTGTATCCTTTTTAGGAATAAGATTATTTGTACCATTTGTAAGTTTAAATACACTATCATAAATTGGAATAGAATTTCCTCCACATATTTCAATTGCTTCACTAATATTTTCGGCATCCTTTATCATCCAGGCTCTCAATTCGTTGAATCGAGATGGACCTTCTTTTATCATTTCTTTCCAATCATCATTATCCAAGACAACAATTGACATTAAACCCAATTTTTGTAAATGAACTAATGTTTTAGCAACAGATTTTAGATGTAAAGGAGTGAATGGACCTTGAATTTTTATCAAAGCAACATGATCAAATTCAATTGAAAATAAAGAGTCGATAAATTGTTCTTTTTGCAATTCTTTTTGTTTAGTATTATTATTTTTAAGTTCAAGATCTGATTTTTTATCGGGTAAAGATACTTTGGGAACTTTAGATTTGGGGATTGGTGGTGGTTTCATATAAGGTATTGAAAACCTTTTAAGAAAGGATTGAGCTTCTTTTCGACTGGGAATGGTGCTTAAAACTTCAAATATTAGATCCTATAAAAAAAGTAGATATATAATAATGTAAACCAATCATCTTAATATTGATTTTAGAAATATCGTATTTCGTGTAATAACGCTCGTGAGCGTTATTTAGAATAATGACCCGAATTAAACTAATTTGAGCCAAATTTTCTGCGCGTTATTTCGCGAAAAATACGATAGTAATATCATATACATACTCTCTCAGTTTCTAAAGCGGCCTGTTAAAGAAAGTGATTATTGTATTTATTTATTATAAAAGATATCAACAATTTTTTTTGCATACACATTCATAAAATTTAAGTAAAATTTACCCCAGAAACTTTTTTTGATGGATGATATAGTCGCAAATAGCATTGACGCAGGGATGAATTTAATGCAAATTTGCTAGAAAGTTGGGTAAATCTATAAGCAGAAGAATTTAACATTTTTTTTTTTTCCTTTTTTTTTTTTTTTGCGATGCTGTAATTTATAACAAAAAAAAAAAAAAAAGATAGTAAGCAATGTTGTTCAGTTACGAGCAGTGTTTAAAATTTGATGTTCTCAATGTTCTCAGAGAACATTTAACAATTTTTATGAACATGAATTACTGGAAAAT